GCTGAGGGGAACCGGACCCGAGGGACGAGCCGGGCAGAGGCGGGGGCGCGGGCAGAACCGGGCGCGGTGCTCCCCGCAAAGACAGACGGGGACGGGACGCGAGGGGGAGAAAGACCCTCGATGGCCTAGGTCCAGCCTCGCCCAGCCCTTCGTCCGGTTCCTCTCAAACAATAGTAGTACCAGCAAGCTATACTTAGAAGCAGATAAAAGATGAATCGCGTGACGAAACGATTGCAGGGTGCCTTTAAAACTTGGTGGCTTTCAAACTTTGGCCGCCCCCCCCACAGTAAGAAATGCGCTTTGGGGCGCCTGGCTGGCTTAGTAGGCAGAGCATGCGACTCTTGATCCCGGGGCTGTGGAGTTGCAGCCCCGCGTTGGGGGTTGGGCATGGCGCTTACTTAACGACAAATAAAAACAAACCAAACAACAAAAAGAATGCGTTTGACATCCCACCTCTCTCCCTCTCAATACACACATCAATGAGGTAAAAGCTTAACCAGACAACATATACTTATCTTTGCTTCATGTATTATATGTAATATATATGTACATATCTGCATATATTACATATGTGAGAATCACACACACACTGTAATGTTTTATTTCTTTAGCTTTTCTTTTCTTTCTTTCTTTCTTTTTTCTTTTTTTGATGCTGGTCTGCTAAATTGATTTTATGAACAAATGAGTCTGATCCAAGCGTATGATTCCAGATAATTACCTGGAGAGAAACTTTTTTCAAGAAACTGTTAAAGAATCAATGAGAAATTAAGATAAGGAAAACCTTAGCGGAAAGTAGATCCCAAGAGTTTTCGTCACAAAGAAAAAAACATTTTTTCCCTTTTTTGTACCTCTCTGAGATAAGGGATGTTAACTAAACTCACTGTGGTCAGCATTTCACAATGTATGTAAGTCAAGTCATTATGCTGTTCACCTTAAAGTTACACAGGGCAGTATGACAATCACATCTCAAAAAAACCCCAAAAAACAACTGGGGAAAACTTTTTTATTTTTTTATTTTTTAAAAGATTTTATTTATTTATTTATTAGAGAGCGAGCGAGAGAGAAACAGCATGAGAGGGGAGATGGTCAGAGGGAGAAGCAGGATCCCCACTGAGCCAGGAGCCGGATGTGGGGCTTGATCCCAGAACTCCGGGATCATGACCTGAGCCGAAGGCAGTTGCTTAACCAACTGAGCCACCCAGGCGCCCTTATTTATTTTTTTTTTTAAGATTTTATTTATTTATTTGACAGAGAGAGACACAGCGAGAGAGGGAACACAAGCAGGGGGAGTGAGATCGGAAGAGC